TTCTAAAAATTATTTCAAGTTGTCGTTAAAAAATCTGTAAATATGTATTCGGACTACGGTATACACAAAGCAGGTTACATGTAGCTCCGGCCCAGTCGAAGGTCAAGGACAAGCTCGTAGCCACGTCACTGAGCAGCAGCTGATTGCAGGACACTGATAACGAGTCATCGATGTAGACAACGATACCGTCACTTTGATTCAGATTGTTATAGGTTCTGAAAGTATTATAACCATGCATAAGATCACCCTGACGATTCAACCATGCTTCCGTTAGAATAATACAATTAAATCTACATTTAATACCTTGTAATAAAACTAGAAATTCGTCAATGTTTTTACCATAACTTCTTATGTTTTGGTGTAATATTTTAAAATCATATATAGCATTACAGTTGTTTGGTTTAAATTATAAGAGTTGAAACAATCAACGGTTAGTAACTACATTGCAATGTATGAAGGGGGTGGTTGTTTCGTCCATCAAAGCTAATTTATTTACTAAATTTAATGGGTTATTGCCGTCCGACTAGCTTAAATTGTGTATTTAGTGTCAAAACATCAGTGTTAAGATGAATTTAAACAATCTGTGTTTAGAGCGACATATAAGAGAGTGTGCCATGAGACATTAATACATCAATTATAACATAGTAAAAAATGAGAATCGAAAAAATATTCTATGAGCTAGATTATTAGCTAAAATTTAAAAATTCATTGTTGTTTATTGTCTAACTTAGATTAGGCACTAAACAAACTTTGGTAAACACAATCACATGATTATTACAATAAGTGTAAAAGTTAATAGGTAAACGGTTCAAATAAGACATTACGGCAATAACAGCCTGTTTATGAATATGTACAAAATGTTTCATACAACAGTTGATCTTTAGATTTTTAAATAAAATAATCGAAATAGATTAACACTTTTAATTAATTTACATTTCCTAACAGGAACTCATATAGCGTATTCTAAGTCATTTGACAAACACTATTTATTTTTCGTTAAACCGTATATCATTCAATTAGTCACTTAAACGAGATTATTGAAGTCATAATAATAGCTGTAAATGATTAAATTAGGAAGTTTTCCAGTTACTCTCAGTTACCAATGACAAAGGGACAGGATGAATGGTCCAAGATGAACTGACACAATTAAAAGTAGTTGATCAATTTGTAATTAATCCTACTACATCGTTGAGCAAATGCAATGTGTTTTATTAGACAACTAGTTATAATTTTACCATAGAAGATTATGTTTTTCTATTGCAATTTTTACGGTAAGAGATAGAAACGGTAAGAGATAGAAAGAAAACTTAAATACGTAAAATGTTTGTTTAAAAAGGACATTTCACATTATATTTAACTACCTGGCCCGACAGACGTCGTCCTGTCCTAATGTGGTGTTATGTCAAATGCTCGTTCCTTTTCAATATGAGCTCGTTCGCTGCGCTCACTTGCCTTCAGTTACATTTTTTATCAGAATTTATTTTTCATCACTCCTTAACGAAAGTAACTATTTTCGATAACAGCTGATATCAATGAAATTAGTCGTTTCCCAAGCTCTAATTTAGCGCGAGGGAAAATCGATCAGCTGATTTTCCCTCGCTCTAAATTTACTTTCCCTCGCTCTCATTTAGTTCTCCATTTATTCACTGCGCGCGCCAGTGTTTTGTTACGGTTTAATTTAATGATTTTAATCAGCTGTACGTATTTTTAAAAGTTGTGTTATTCTTTTATTTTGATGTTTAAACAAAATTTATTGAGAAATATACGTAGGTTTCTTTTTAGAAGATTTTATTTTATTTTGATGTTCAATCAAATTAATTGAGAAATCAAATTGTTTTAATATACTGAGGTCTGCTATTCTGTGTTTGTGTATTTTTGCGTCGTGATGAAAAGTATCGTTCATAACTCGTACCGAAAGTTATTATCCGGCACTTGCTCCATTATTCCCGTCCTCGGCTTCGCCTCGTACGTGAAAATAGCTCTCACATACTCGGCTTCGCCTCGCACGTGTAATTGGGGTTCCCTGTGTTCGGCTTCGCCTCACACAAAAACTTGGGCGCGCGACGGAAAATGCCACTTTCGGTCCTAGTAATGAAATATACTATTACAATCTGGTCAAACAAATATGAGAACAATAAGTAAAACATTTATCAAAACAATGTCAGGAAGCAAGCACCTGTTCATCAACAAGTCTTGCCAAAAATTGGACCAATCATAAATATTTACAGAAATCTGTAGCTTAGGTCCAGCACATGCACAACACTTTTTAATCTGGTAATGCACTGACTATTGCCCAGCAGATTAACAGCAAGACTGTTCGGATGATATTCTAATTTTTCTTGATACTCTTTGCTAAGGTCTGTAATTTCTACTTTCACTGATTTAATTTTGAAGTCATTCCTAATTGTAGTGTTGGATAAGAACCAAGGTGCGCCAATTCTTCTCAGTGCCTTAGCCTGAAATCGTTTAAGAATTTCGATGTTGGATTTGCTCGAGGTCCCCCAAAGTTGAATTCCGTATGTCCAAATTGGTTTGATCATAATTTTATACAGTAAAATTTTCTTAGCCAATGATAATTTTGAATTCGTACCTAGTTAGTAGCCAATTGAGTTTACAAATTTTTAATTCCATTTGCTGTCTCTTGCACCAGAGATGAGATTTCCAATTTAATTTTTTGTCAAGAGTTAGACCTAAATATTTTACACTGTCTGCCTCCGTTAAGGCTACATATTATTAATGGTTACTGGAGGATTGTACTCTGTTCTCAGAGTAAAAACAATATGTTTGGACTTGTTTTCGTTGACTTTTATCCTCCACTTTTTAAGCCAATATTGGAGCTCAGTCAAGGCTTATAAGAGTTATAACAATCAACGTTAGTAATTACATTGCAATGTATGAAGGGGGTGGTTGCTTCCAGAATTGCCTCCAAGGAACAACATGTAATATTTAACAACATAATGTAATATTTTATGTTACATTTGACAACAAATATTCGTAAAAAACAAATGGGATAGAAACCTATTTGATAGCTCTCATTTTTTTATGCATAGATTTGTTTTTAAAAATTAGGTTATCATTACAACAGCTGTTTCCTTAATTTAATTTAATCAAGAAATGACAAACATGGCATAGTAAACAAAATAAAACATTCTTCCATAAGATTAACATGTAAACTGTAAAGGGCCTTAGGACGCTACCCTTAAGGGTTTTTGAAACGGAAACCGGCTATTATGTTATTATAGTACCTAAGGAATATCCCTGTAAATTTTCATGCCAATTGGTTCAGTAGTTTTCTAGTTATAAACGCTGTAACTAACACAACTTTCTTTTATATATTTCTAGTTGGCCCGACAGACGTCGTCCTGTCCTAATGTGGTTTTATGTCAAATGTTCGTTCATTTTCAAGATGAGCATGTTCGCATGGCTCAATCACGTCTAGGTTGAAGTTCGTTCGCTACGCTCACTCACCTTTTGGTTGCAAATTAGCTGTTGTCATAAATTGAAAAAAATAATAGTGTTGCACCCTGTTGGTAAACCTATTAATTTCTTAATGCTATTGAACATCATAGAATTAAATTCTTTAGTTTGAACCAGCTGTTAAGAATCTTTAATTCCATTTAAATATGAGTACTCATAAGGTTAACATGGGAAACTCCAGAGCCACTGGGGCGGAGCCCTTTTGACGGATCTGCACCAAACTTCACACAAACCATCCTTGAATAATGCTTAATAATAACTGAAAGTTTCATTACAATCTGTCGATCGGTTTCGGAGTCCATAAAGGACAAACAAACAAACATACATACATACAAACAAACATACATTGGATTTTATATATATAGAAGATTTGTTATAGGCCTAGCTTGCTATTTAACAGTTTTGAGTTTTCAGCTTTCTTTTATTCTTCAAATTCGAGATTTTTTTATAATTAGAAAATAACATGGAAAATGCCCTTGCTACAAGTTATCTTAAAGAGTAGCTCATGAATAGGCTTGGAAAGAAATTTGGTGCTGTTCCGTTCAGTAGTTAGGGTATTACGGTAGTTAACTTCAAAGTCCTTTTGTAAAACGTTTTAAACCACCCTGTAAATACGGTTAAAGATAATTAAATTTCTTTGCACAAAAATGATCGGGGTGATTAGACCTTTAAATTGATGTATCACACAACCCATGTTTAAATTTGAAAATTTCTCAAAAAGCACCCCAACCCCCCAAATTGGGCCCTTTTGGGGCATTTTTCAAAATTAAAAATTATTTTATTGGATTTTGCATGTCCAAATTAGGGGGAAATGAGAACAAACAAGTGTTAAACGCCTTACCTTTGCACACAACAGATATGGAAAGTTTTCAAATGAACACCTGTATATATTTCAAATAAATTTATGATTGAAAACACTTTGGATTGATATCATATTCATCCTCAAGCTAAGTTTGGCCTTTGTAGCAAGTTTTAACTAGCTACCTTCTTACACGAAAAAAAAACAGTATAATGAATCATAATACAAGTGTGACAAATGTCAAATTATTGTAAAGCCTTCAAACGGCAGAACACATATTATATACACAAGATAGTTGATATAGCATTGACAAATTTGAAGGAGACTGCAAGCGCCGTGAATAGAAGTCGTTCGGAGTTAAAAAAAGAACGACTCTCATTATACTCAACCGATCTGTTCAGCAAGAGCTGTTCACCTTCAATTTGAATCTCCCGCTCTTTGTCGATCTGTTTTGCTTGTCGACATTTTGCGTGTCGATAAAGTGGGAAAATTTACACAACCGTCCCACATAACAGACATCCCACATAACCGACATCCCACTTTACAGACATCCCATATTACCGACACTGTCGACATTTTGAGTTGTCGACATTATGGGACTATTTCAGTGTCGATCTTTTGGGATGTCGATAAACTGGGACCCCACGGCTTGGACTACTCACGATTACTAGAAAAAACGTGGTTGCACTACACAGCGTCAGCGTTGGACAGTGACGTTTTTTTTGTACGTAGTTGTAGTTGTCTGCCTCCCTGCCTCTGTTTTGTAACTGTCAAATCTCTAAACAACAAATTGGTTGTTTATTTAAAATGTACAATATTAATAGATAGTAGGCTAGCTATTTATTTTTAATCAATTACTAGCCTACAATTATTGTGATGGTATGTTGAAACATTTGCTATTAAATTTTGTAGGCCTAATTTTAAAATAAAAATAAAGGTTATTTGGATGATCTCTATTCTAAAGTTAGGCATTGATATATTTCCATTTAACTTATTTGGTAATAGGAAGCTCAATCTATGCTTTGTAACATTTAGCAAATTTCCCTTAGGGAATAAGCTATTGCTATTACCGTAGTACTCATGGTAAGACCTGGACCCAAGACCAATTTACTTGAATGAACCGATTTTGATTAAATTTGCTACAAACGTGTAAATTTACATTTATTCGAACGAGTTCGTAAACCAGCATGATTGGACTAAATTATGAGAACAGTGGTTTATGGGGGATTTTAGGGGGTAAAAAATGGTTTTTCCCATTTTTGACCCTAAAAACATGAAATTTTGCAATTTGTAACTAAACCATTTTGTAGAGCTAAAAAAACAAATAATTCAGTATGTTGAAGCTTTGTTGTGTGCCTAATAGTTACGGAGAAAATTACAAAAAATTGTAGGTAAATATAAAACTCCCATGTTAACTGCGCTATTGCTGCTAGTGTAATCGTAATATAAAACCCCTTAGTAACTACCAATTCCAAACTGTCACTCTCACACTGTCGGACGGACGGACTGTCGTCTCAGATTGTCGGTTGTGCCTTGGCTATTATTTTTTTACCACTGTCATCGCCACCTTTTAATTCATTACGTTAACTTATAATCATTAATAATAGCATTACTGGTACCTATCTAGACTAATCCGTAATCTACTCAGGGACTCTACTACAATATTCAGTAAAACCATTGACTATTGGTTACTGTAGTAGACGTTTCATCTATATGGACCAGCTGTCGTAAATTTTTTGTTAAAAAAGAACACAGTTGTGTCAGCGGTAACTAAAATTTTCTACCTTATTTTTTTTTTGCTGGCCAATTTGGTGGGTCATAACAGTTGCTCTTGCTTACAATAAGTCATTCCATTAGTTTAAATTGGTAAAAAAGATTGTTAATTCGACAGAAATCAGTGATTTAGATCAGCACAATCTGTCGGTGGCTCACATCAACTATGACAATTTTGGTTAAAAAACTGGCTTACAAATTTTGCATGGGGATGGTATGTAGAGTTGTGTTAATAGTCAAAGGTAAAACATAAGAAATTCATTTTCAAATTCTTGTATTTTACCTATAATATCAATTTCTTACATTGACAATATTTATAGAAGTTTTACATATATTTGCTCAATAGTCCACATCCAAATGACCAAGTTTGTAGAATACAAATTCTTATTTGCAATTACAATGCTCATGAGCTAACTTATAGGAACTGTCTTTGTTATATAGTTAAGTTTAATTTATTTTAGGTTTGGAGATCGATTGAAGAGCTGTGATAAATCATGACCAATGAAGACCAAAATGACCACAATTTAAATTTAATACAACCTTAATTAAAGTCAACGTCAATGGGGAAATTCAAAAGACATTCTTCAGTTAGGGTAAGTAGCCTCAAAAGTATGTAGGCTAGTTTGTAGGCCTATAGCCTGGTACAGAATTACACACAATGAAGGTCTTGAGGTGAGGACTGCAGAAGAGATATTGCTGCAAGAAGATATACACCACCCTGCTTTGACTCTCTCCTTCAGGGTCACTGACCCCCCAATTTCTCAATGTTCCTCATACTTCCATGATTTCCGTCGCTGCGACATGAGTGCTGTGTTTGATAGTCTGCTCCAACTCAACTATCCCGCTTTTACCGATCACCATCATTGAAGACGAATTTAACAATTTCTGCAATTACCTGGAATCTGCGATCAAACAGTACACACCGATGAGAAAAGTTGCCAGTTGTAAATTTTATTTATGGTTTTCAAAACATCTTAGAAGTTTGGTAATTCAAAAGAAGATTCTGCATAAAATTACAAGTCATCCCCGTCCCAACAAGACTAGATCAACTTTCAACATTTAAGAAGAATCTGTAATCAACTTACCAGCCAATGCCACTCTGTATATCTAAACAAAGTTGAGGAGAGCATCCCCTCAAATATAAAATCCTTCTGTTCTTAAATGTTAACTGTCAAAAAAGCTCCACTTCTCTTCCATCTTCCATGTTTCTTGACTCCGACGAGGCTACTGACGCAGGAGGAAAATGTAACCTTTTCTCGAGATTCTTCTCATCCGTATTCAACCTGAGCAACATACCACAGCCAACTTATGACTCTGGGTTGAATCAGTCAATAGAACTGTACCTTTTCAGCCAGGGCCGGACTTACGACATCAGGGGCCCCGGGCAAATTTTCCAATGGGGCCCTAGGATTTCAGTTCGGGGGAAGGGGGTCCTCCAGTGGGATTAGGGGGTCCTCCCCCGGGAAAATTTTCTAAATTTAGGCTTCAAATAGAGCAATTTAAGGCCAAATAAGCAATAAGTTCTATATAAAAAAATTTTCTTAAAATATAACTATTTTAACATATTTTTATATACAGCATATTTTAATTTTATACACAAAAATAAAAATGTATTGCTTTATAGTACCAGTGACGGCATATTTGGTATGGTATTATGGTAGGCTACCATAATATATTTGGATAAGAAGTATTGATATATTTTTGTTTATTACGTATTTAAATTATCGATTATTGCCGTTGATTTGTATGGTTTTTCAATATTACTACAATATAGGTGTGATTATTTTATTTTCATAATGGTTTTGGTACCTATGGCATTCTCGTTTTTATAATATGTTAAAGTCCTAACATGAAAAGTACCATTGGGGACTTTCAAGTTTGAGTTTTTTTATTGAGGAGCAAAATCTTGCAATGTCTAATAAACACTCACAAGCTAAGTATTTATATGAGTAACTGAAAGATGTTTAAATGGATCCAATATCGATTACAACACAAACATAGCATTTAATACAACATTACTCACTTCAGCTTTGTTTTTGTACTGTTAGTTTGCAGAATTACAATAAAATAACACAAAAGTAAGACAATTTCAACCAACTTGACGTGACCACTAGTCTCAAAGGACAAACTATGGGAGTAAAGTGATTTAAATTGTTTTGGATAGGCGATAAGGCATTTTATGTGTGTGTATGCACGTGCGTGAGAGGCAGGACTAGACAGGATCCCTTATCAGCTCATTATCATTTACTAGCAGAATACCCGTCCTTCGTACGGGGTTGGCATATAAGTATAAAATGCTTATTGCAGAATGGGAGAGGAGATGGTTTAAGAAAATTTGGTTTTTTCATTTATATGGTAATGGTATCCTATAGTGTAGCACGCATCTACAAAATTAGTAGGGTAAGTAAACTGTTGTAATATTGCTTGTTTATGGATATTTGTTTATCAAACTTGGCTGATTATTTTTTTTTAATTATACTAAGCTAATGATATTTTCCTAAAAATCACACTTCCTTACCCTCCCTGTAGCAGCAAACCTCGGTACTCGTTAAACCTTATGATGTTGAATTAGATAGAATTAATTGAAAAAAGTAACACAAATGGAAATTTGCTTAGGCTGCAGGTTTGCTGCGGCGAGGGTATTATGGAATTGTAATTGATTTAGAAAGAAGACTTTGTTGTAATACATGATTAACTCAAATTTATATAAGATACTAAATAAATAAATCCCGTCGGTCACAATTAGTAGAGCCGGTCGTTTGTTAATTGACTGGCGCTACTGCAACCAGCACTACTATTCGTATTTTCTAGCAGCCACGAATTCGTGCTAGCAGCTATGCCCGTGCCTTGCAACAGGGTCAGTATGCAAAAGAGACAAAGTTGGTTCTTTGAAAATGCAAAACGGTTTCACTCCTACCGTTTAATTTAGAAACGACATTAAACTCTATTACTTAACTTAATAATAGTACGTTTTTGTTAACTCATACTGTGAATACTTATTTAGGCTACCAAGGATACAAAACCAATGATAGGTTTTAAGGTATGATAAAAGAATGTGTTTAATGGTTTGCACTGTAAAGGAAAAGCTATCACAATAGTTCCAAACCTGACAATAGGGTAATTTTCTAATTCTAACATATGTTAGTGAAATTATAATCAGGCAAATGGGAATTCGTTCAGTCTATAGGTTTGCTGCGGCAGGGGGATTATATTACTGTTAACAAAAAAATAAATCAAAAGAATAAACCTCATAAAAATTTAGGATAAGGGCCTAGGTTAATACGGCAATATAGAATCTGAGTTATTTCCTATATCCGTGAATGATTTCTTTTACAATGAATTATTTCCTATAAAATGTATTACTACATTTCACAAATATTAGAACAGAGATCATAAACGTAAACAAATGAAGTAACTAAAAGAATCCTACTAATGAAATTACATTAACATATGGTTTGACAGCTCCATTTAAGTCATTTTAAATAATGTTTACATTCGGCCTAGTGACATCATTATTTTAAATTTATAATTCTTACCCTCTTTGTTCTAATATTCGTGCAGTATTTAATATGTTTGAACCAGCTGTGTAGAATTGTGAAATCAAAATTCATCTGACCGTTAGTTCTGCTTGTTTACATTTTAAAACTTTGTAGGTTTGTTCTTTGTTACCATGGATACCACCAATCAATATTTACTTTTAAATCTCTCACCTCAAATTTTTGAAAGCCCACGGGGCAGAGCCCTAGGACTATATCGAGGCGGGAATATGTATCCTCGGAGCTGTAGCTTCAATTGTGTGCAATTTGAGCCCAGTCGGTTCAGTAGTTTTTGAGATTATCTCATACAAACACACACACACACACAGACACCACCTCTTCTTTATAATAGTATAGATTGTTGCAGCTGCTTCTGCTTATTCGCTTATTTACGATTTCATACGACAACGCTCGCCCAATCCCAATAAATGTAATTTTTTGTTAACATCAGACGACTCTAGTGGTTTTAAAGTGTCTATATAGGTTTAAAAAATCTTACTGGTGCTACAGTATATGATTTTGACTCCAAAGACTAAATTGGAGATCAAAATTTGGACGCATAACTTAATTAATTACTATTTTACAAAACCTTTCAATTGAACGGATAATATACTTCTACCCCTTAAAATCCTGATTGGTATATACTTAGAGGTAAAAGAAAAGAATAACATTTAATAAAACATAAACGGAGCAATGTTTTTATTTTTAAAAGTATTTGAACTCCAGTGAATCTCCATTTAACACAATACAATTTTACAAGTTACGTTCTACGTTGGGACAAGGGTTTTCATATTTATTGTATTTTTGCCCCAAACGCGGGACCCCCTTCAACTCATTCGCCGCGGCCGTACGTTCGGGCGAGCGGCTTCATTGAAACTGAAACTTGTCCGTCACAGCCTATAGTAATACCACATATAGCACATATGCTCAGCTCATGTAAACCAGGCCTAAGCGTGGGGCCCAGTGCAACTCTGAGAAAAAGTCCCTTAGGGTCAAGAATCTCATTCCTAGTAATGCCTTAAAATGCACCGAACAATAACCTTAAACATAGGATAGCGAAAATAAAAATAAAGCTATTACAAAAGAAGGCCATTTGTTAAGTGTCTGATCAATTTTCGAAGTTAATGATAAAAACTAATGTACAAAGGGGGCCCCTGTCGGGGCCCCCTTGGCCCGGGGGCCCCGGGCGTTCGCCCCCTTCGCCCATAGGTAAGTCCGGCCCTGTTTTCAGCCATAGATGACAAAGTAAGTTGCAGGCACTGCAGTTTTCCAAATAATGTAAATTGAATGCTATGGAACTCAACGTCTCGAAATGTGTGGTTATGTTCTTCCTAGTCGAAGTAGCTTGGTGCATGAGTATGTTTATTCCATCAATAGCAGTAGTCTTAATGTGGTCCAGAGAATCACGGATCTTGGTGTGATTACCACTCCCTTCCTTTGCCCACTTGAACATTTGGTGTACAGTATACAGGGTGATTGATATAAGTGTGCCAGCCGTTTTATTCGAAAACTATAAGAGATATCAAAAAAAGTTAAATGGTAAGTGCCTTGGATTTTTTATTAAAAAAATTGTAGTCTAGTCAAAAAAATTATTTTAGCCGCCATTTTTCCAATATGGCCGCCAACTTGGATTTTTCTTTCGGAACACCCTGTATTTTATGATGTATTCCGGTAGAAAATGTAATTTTAAAACGATTTTATTCTTGTAATTTTTTTCATAAACCTAACCGTTTCAAAGATAATAATGGTTAAAGTTTTGAAATTTCTGCATGAGAAAGAGTTTCGATAAAGGCCTAAGCAAGCATGCCAGCTGTTTTGTTCGAAAACCATTAAAAATTTCACAACTTAAACCATTATTATCTTTGAAACGGTTAGGTTTATGAAAAAAATATCGTCTTAAAATTACTTTTTCTACCAGAATACATCATAAAATACAGAGTGTTCCATAAGAAAAATCAAAGTTGGCGGCCATATTGGAAAAATGGCGGCTAAAATAATTTTTTTGGCTTGACTATAATTTTTTAAATAAAAAATCCAAGGGACTTACCATTTAACTT